CTAAAACACTTGCAGAAGTGCTCCGATTATGTCAAGTTTGAAGATGATAAAAAGCTAAATATGTTCTTATTGAAATTTGTACGAAAAACATTCAAAGTAGGATACAATAACTGATAGACTTAATTTTGTTGTGTAAAATGCACTGACTGACCGTCAGATCATCTCTAGATGTTCGAGATCAGTGCTTAGAGCTGACAGCAGCAGAGTGATCTCCCTGCACAAACAAACGAGGAGCTCAAACTTCTCAAAGAATGTTCCTTTTTGTACTTTACTCTTCCTAGCCTGGTGAGGTGTTAGATGTAGACTAAATTAGAGGTTATGTTTCAAAAAGTATGCAAAAACAAAGTATTTACACACTCAAATGTACATATTTTATTGAATGAGATATTTAATGACAGAAGGTGACAAATATGCAACAAATAAAAAGTTTCCGTCAGCATTCCTGGTGTCACAGGTTGAGGATGAAGGGATTGACCTTCATCATGTAGGCTGGTTTCAGGTACTGCTCCAGTTCACTCTTCTTCACCCAGAGCAAAGCAGGGTTTGGCTCTTTGGATGGAGGTCTGTCTGTCAGGATGGCTTTGAAGAAGAACACCTTTCTTCCGAAGGAGCTCTCCGTCCGAGCAGCTCTGGGCAGTTTGTACTTGTAGACACCGCAGGGAGCGTTGCTGAGGAAAGTCGCCTTGAAACTGTCTCCTGCAGGAAAGAGAACAGGCTGAAAGTTCAATCAGAGCAAGACAAAAGGTTGAAGCACAGACGCAGCAGGTTTCCTGTATTTGGTCCCACCTTTCTGGGTTAACAGTGTTGGACTGCTTTAATTAAGGTGTTGCAGTGTTTCAGCCTCATCCTCTGCTTTAACGACACACTTTTTAATCTAATCTCATGTCAAGCAAATCCCTGTGGACCCAGCTGGCTCAACAAAACAATGAAGAAGCAACATTCAGTTCCCACTGAGTCCAGCTATATTAAAAATGGATCAACGTGCGCTTCTGAAGGACACTTTAAATAAAAACCTCCTTCAAATGCTTTATGTTAATGTCAAGCAAAAAAAGCATTAAAAGGAAAGTGATTGATAGACCAAGCAAGTAATAAGTTTATGAATAATGAAATAGTCTAATAAAGACTGTCAAGTGGCATTTTATTTAAACACAGTGTGGATTAAAGACCGTTCATCCAACTAGATGCAAAGAATTTAACGTTTTGTACTTAATCTCTGCAACGTGAGGGATTTTACAGGCTTAATGGAAATACAAGCGTCCACAACTTACTTTTCATCACCTAAATATTATAGATGATACATAGGTAATAAATATAATATAGAACATGCTCTTTATTAATGTATGAATGCATATTTTTCAAAGGAAACTGAGCCTTAATCTGTCTTTTAAATGGACTTTTTGTGTGACTGTGTACAAGTAGCCAATGTGTTTGCTGCAGCCAAGAGAAGCAGAAGTTTGAGCCCAGGTTGCATCAGGAAATGCATCTGGCTAAAAAAAAAAATTGATTGCCAAACCTTTCATGCGAGTTCACTCATTGTGGCGAATCCTGAAGGAGGGAGCAACCGGAAAATAAAACAAGAGTAACAGCGCTTTTGTGTAGGTGCACTTCCCATGACAGGTTTGTATTTGGCAGAAAGGCTTTAACTGCACAACTTTTATCAATGGATTTGTGTTCGGCTCAAAGTCTGTATTTTAATGTTCTGAATTATATCACACAAACTTAGTTAAATTTGTAGTTATCCTCGTAGATTTGTGCTTTTTTTTTTTTTTTAAGCTGAATTCACACTTTGTGATATTGATTGCAAGGATGCACCGATCCACATTTTTTTTACTTCCAATCCGATACTCAAATCTGGATATCAGCCGATACCTTTCCGATAACATCATCATTATTGATTTTATATGAGGCTGGCTGTAATAATCTCCTCTCTACAGGCAAGTACAATTTGTACTATTTTTAGTATTTTACATTGCTTTATATTGTAGCTGTTTTTGTTTAATTTTTTTAATATAATTTTCTTGTATTTTTCAATTCATATGCTTTTTTTATGATTGTCTACTGTTGTACTGATAAATACCTCCTGGAGGGTAAACTATATCTTGGCTGAAAGTATCAAGCTGTGAAGTCCTTCGTTTTCTACAACTGATAGCGGTTGGTCATTAATTACGTTGAAGTTTAGCAGCTTCTTGGTAAACATTCGAGCTCCGTGTCTTCATCGGTGAGTTGATCTTGTTCAATCTGAAGCAGGCAGTCTGATTTCGGTCAGCCGTGCTCAGTCTCCCCCTCCTCTGAGACGAACAGACTGAACGGGGCAGATTGGACATGGCTGACCAGGGTCAAGTTGCCCGTTTCGGGTTCAGTGAGAGCAGCAGACCGCTGAAGCCACGGAGCTCAAATGTCCATCGTAAAACTAACTTTACTGCGGTTTAATGTGGTGCTATGGCTCTGCAGACACTGCACGTTGCTGTCTTGTTTTGTGGTGTTTCTAGTGTAAAATACTTCCACACAGCGGACATGTTTCGATGAAAAGTTGGTTAGCCGTTAGCCACAGTGCTACTGCACATTTCAGCTGGCTGCAAACTATGAAATGGATTTCCTGAATGTGAGGTGGGTCTTATTACTTTGGGTTCATGAGACACGGTCGTTCAGGAAACCCATTCCATAGTTTGAAGCCAACTTGCAGAGCAACTGGCAGAGAATCACATGTGGAGAAGTTTCATCAGACACAGACATGCATCATGCATTGGAAATCTCTGCAGGTTGGATCGGAAAAATCAGATACGTAAATTACACTGGTATCGGAGGCTGATACCGATACCGGATTGGATCGGCCCCATCCCTAATTGATTGATTTATATTTTCTATGTATTTTGTGTTTACCTTCCAACGAACTAAAGACACAATTAGCTACTGCCTTAAAACACATAAACCTAACAAACTAGCTAACCTGTAATGCCCAAAAGATGATAGTTTTGAAAGAACAATGTTATATTTAAGCCTGTCACGATAACAAATTTTGCTGGGCGATTAACTGTCTCAGAAATGATCGCCGTTAGAAACATTTTATGTTGTTGGTGTTATTTCATTTGTTAACACTAGAGGGAGTAATATGCTACCTGTCATTGACTCCACACCCATAAAAGCCAGGTGCAAAGGTGCACACGGGTGATGAGACAGGACCGAGGCAAACAGTTTTTTGACCTTGTAGCATGTAACGTGAAAGCTGTGTTAGAAAGTTAATGGAAGTGCAAGAAGTGTGATTGGAACCTTTTTGCAACATCTACGAAATATGGAAACTTAAAATGGAGGTAAGTAACGCATGGACTTTGTTAAAATACAGAAAATAAATTACCGTTTTACAAAAGAAACTGATTAAAGAACACTTATTAGGCACGCATCAAAACAGTTGTCAACTCATCACCTGTGGTGATCGAGCCACAAAGGAAAAGTTTGGTCCCCACAATCGCGATAAACAATAATATTGTTTGAAATTTGACAATAATTAGTAATTATTGTCAAATTTAATAAGAAATATTGGTTAATTTGTTTTGAGTGTAGTAACTTTTTTGACCACCAGATGGCAGTATACGACTGTTTGAACCGAAGGATGGATAGTGAGGGAACAAGCGGAGTTTCTCTTTAAGAAAAATGGGAGGGAGGCTCCTTGACGTGACATGGGCTGTCTCTCTTCGGTTCTCAAAATGGCGGACGCTCTGTGTAGTTTGACCTCTTTAACATAGCATTTTTCGCACAAAGCTTTTAATAAAAAAATCAGTAAACAAGTTCTCAGCTTCTTTTTGCAGAGAAAAACAACTTTTTAGATGAAGGCATGGGTTTCAATCGTGAATTTTGGAGCTTTGACAAGACGGAAGTTTTTTCTCCCTGAGGTCAGTCTGTTAGCTGGTAGCTTAGCTTCTCAGCTTAGCTACATTTAATGATTAAAAAAAAAACGCAATTTTGGACGTTTAAAATGGATTTTAAAGAGAAAGGAAGGGGTCTGTGAAGAGCACCGGAGTTGAGCTTTTTGTCATCCAGTGTCTTCAGTAGAAAGAGAGACATGAAGAAAAGATAAAGCCGATAAATGAAAATGAGGATGATCATTTTCATTTATCATGAGATTGATTTATTGTTTATTGCGACAGGCCTAGTTATATTTTCAAAAGAATATGGTAATACCTTCATATCTTTTCAAGCACTGTTTATTTAATTGGTTTAAAAGAAAATGTTACTTTTAGAAAGAAAATATGGACAACATTTGGAAGTGCATTCCTAGCCAGTTTTATTCAGCTGTAGCACAGCTAGGAATGTTTACCAACCTGCACCCAACCACAGGGCTAAATTATTAAAAACATAATCTTGATAAGATCCAATGTTATCTGCTCCACTTTTTCCATCAGAGAATTTCTCTCCTTCAGTGTTTGAGGCAGCGCAGCAACAACCACTCGCAGAGCAGCTCGAAGCAAAGATGGCAGAGAAACTTAAAATGTGTAAACTTTTCAAGAGTTAATGCTGATAATGATCTGAACAGGGGAACAAGTCTTTTGCGTGTTGGGGTAAAACAAACCCAATTTTGCCTGAACATTTGAGAAAAGAAACGTTGGAAAGAGTTATATTTTAAAGTACCCCAACCAATAAATAAATACAATTAAAAAAAACTGGGGAAAAAACAAATGATGAAAAGCTTAGTAGATAAATGGCAAGTATTAGATCCCCTTCAATCCAGTCAGAATGCTGGCTGCCACAGATTGATTCAGTGTCCGCGTGGCACACAGATTACAAGCAATTAGTCAATAACCATGGGCCAGACCAAAATTTCAAAGGGCATCAAAGACAAGACAGTAGATCTGTACAGGACTGGAATGGGCTGCTCTTGAAAAAATAGTCCATGCATTCATTACAGCTCAGCTGGCCTACTGTAACTCACTTTATGTTGGGGTCAGTCAGGTCTCTATTTCACATCTCTAGCGTGTCCAAATCTGCAGCTCGGCTATTAACAGGAACTCACAGGTTTGAGCATATTTCACCAGTTTTGTCCTCCCTTCACAGGCTCCCTGTGCATGTCAGAATTTATTTAAAAATTTGGTTGACCTTTAAGTACCTAAATGACCTTGCACCCTCATGTCTCTCTAACCTACTCCAATCATATGTTCCTTCTCGGGCAATGAGAACATCTGACCAGCTGCTTTTGGTTGTACCAAAATCCAGGTTGAAGCTCAGAGGAGATCGGGCTTTTTCAGTCATGGGCCCTAAACTTTGGAACAATCTGCCCCCCAACGTTAGACAGGTCACTTCACTTCCTGTTTTTAAATCTCTCCTAAAAACACACCTGCATTCACTGATGTTTAACAGTATGATTTGATTTAATATTTCATTGTTTGTGTTTTTTTACATTTTAATTTTTGATGCTTTTAATTACATCTTATTTTTTTACTGCCTTGATCTTATTAAGAAGCACTTCGGTAACAGCTGCTGTTTTAAATGTGCTTTATAAATAAATATGACTTGACTACTGAGCCATCATCAAGAAGCTTGGTGAGAAGGTGACAGCTGCTGGTGAGCATGTTCAGAAATGGGAAAATAAATAAAAAAATCAAATGCATGCAAGAGCATGCCTCAGGGGGTGAGGATTATCGTCAACAAGGTAGGCAATCAGCTCATAACTACATGGGGGGAGTTTGTTAAAAACCTGATGGCAGTTAGGACCACAGTCATCGAGAATGCTAAAATCAAGCTCTTTGGCATCAACTTGACCTGCAGTGTTTGGAAAAGAAATGCAGAGTGCCACAATCAAGCACATGGGTGGTAACATTATGCTTTGGCGCTGTTCTTATGCTAAAGGTATAGGTCAACTTCTCTGCACTGAGGGGCCAAAGGATGAGCACACATAAATAAAATCTTGAAGAACCTTCTTCTCTCAGGCAGACCAGAAAGCTGAGTCATGGGTGCGTCTTCTAGAATGACGGTAACCCAAAACATACCTTCTAGGCAGCAAAGCAATGGCTGAAGAAGAAGCATATTAAGATCATGAAGTGGTCTTTCTAGTCTCCAGACCACAGAAGAATAGAAAATCTGTGGAGGGACCTGCAGCTTTTAGTTGTCAAATGGCAGCCAATAAACCTAAAGAACATAAAGTTTCTGTAAAAAGGAGTGGGTCCATTAAAATCCATCCTGAGATGTGAGTAGACCTGGTGACAAATTATGAGAAACATCTTGCCATGACGCTCACTAACAAAAGTTTATCCACCAAGTCATGTTTAGCTTGGGGATCTAAACCTTTTACGATTTTTGAAAAGCAGCTGCTGTTTAATGAGAACAACATGCCTAAGGTAGATTTGGAAAAGTAAAATTACTTTAGTAAAGTATTAATAAGAAGAAAATGAGTTTGCTGAATCCAGAACACAGCAGTTTGTGTGTGAGCCTTAATAACATGTGTTACCTGTAATGGCGGTGAGGGCTTTCTCAGCAGTCTGTCGCAGTGTTTCTCCTTCCTGCCACGAAGCCTGAGGCAGCAGCCACAGCTTCTCACCACCAACCTGCTGCTGGGCTAGAAGAACCAAAGAGTCGGAAAGGCAACGCTCCACCGAGGTCAAGTCCTTATCTATGTCAGCTAAAAAAACAGAGGAAAAGAGAAGGGTGAAAAGTGCATACTGTGCCTGTGTGAGACAATTTTATTATCTTCCCAAATGTCACAGGCAGGAAAATACACATAGAAAGTTCTGAAGCAGACGTTTTATCAGTGAAATAAAAAGCCTTTCATTCCCTGGTAACTTGAATTAAATTAGCTCTTAAATTTCTTCGCTTGATCCATTTGTGGAATTCTTTTCTTGGTAAATAATCCCCATAAAATGACAGATAATTCCTCAAGTACAATTATAACACAGTACGCAATCAAAAACTTTCATGTTGCCTACAGCGGCTAAACACACTTCCCTGCACTAACCTTTGACCCTTGGAGCCAACTGGAAGTTCTGAAACGCCTGTTCCCAGTCATCTTCCAAGTCCTGAGCCAAGATGATGTCCTGGTCATCACTGCCGTCAGCTTCGTCCAAGTTATAGTCATCAGCCTGCTTCCGACTCATTCTCTCGGCGTCCTCGAGCAGCCGCAGCTCATGGTCCGACAGCAGGCTTTTCTCCAGTTCAACCTGAAATTAATTCAGAGTGAGTCTCTGCCTCAGTGTCTAAGACACGAAGACGGTGACTGGGTGTTACCTTCTGCAGAGCAGTACAGCTGTCAGCAAACAACTTATTCTACACTAAAACCCAGATGAATGTTATATTGGTGCTGGTATAGGAAAAAGAATACTAAAACTAAAATTTAGTATGTATTAAAAAGAAACATTATGAAGCTGATGAATTATATGACTTTCTATGGCTGCTCCTTTAGCAGAAGACAACCATTTTATTTGACTGCAGCATCAAGTTATTTAGCAGTTTCTTTTTTAAAACGGCAAAAAAATAAATAAATAAAAATAAATTGGTGTGGTGTTCAGTCAACTCTTGTACTGAACACCACACGGAGGAAGGAAGTCTTCCTGGACTTCAGGAAACTGAGGTTAGACGCACCCCCCGCCCGCCCCCCCTACATCAATGGTGAGTGTGGGGAGAGTGTACACAGCATCAGGTTCCTGGACTCTCAGATATCTACTGACCTCTCCTGGTCCTGCCAACACAAAAGCCATCTTGAAGAAGGCTCAGCATCGTCTTCACTTCCTGATGTGCTCAGGAGGAATAATGTGGCAGAGAAGCTCATGGCGAACTTCTACCGTGCTTCTATCACAAGTGTGCATCTCAGTGTGGTTTCCTCACTGCACTGAGGTAGACTGAAAAAGGCTTCAGGGGGTGGTGAACACCACACAATCTGTCATTGGCTGCCCCCTCCCCTCTTTAAAGTCCATCTTTACCTACAGGTGTCTCAGCAGAGCCACCAACACTGCAAAAGGCCGTTCACATCCTGGCTCTCACCTCTTTGAATTTTTGCTCACAGGCAGGCACCTGATCCATCAGGACCTGGACCACCAGACTCGGGGACTTTTTTTTTTCCTCAAGCCATCACACTCTTGAACACACACATGCATTGACAAACTGATCAACTTTTTATACATTCAATGTGCATGTGTGTGCTGTACACCAAACAAATTCCTGTACAGGCACCTTGAGAGAGACTCTGCAGTTTTGTTGTTCTTAAGGCAATGACAAATAAAGTTTGATTGATTGAGTCATTCATTCATCAATTAAATATGTATAGCATTTTTATTATACAATATTCTCTTATAATTTAACCTCCTAAGACTTGAACTCTTGCGTATGTGGATGCCAGGTCCAAGGAGGTTAAAGAAATTAGAAAAGTAACAAATGAGCTGTGTGCTTGGAATTTTACTGAAAAAATTGTTGTCAAAGCTGTGATATAAAGTTTTTAATTAGAAATAATACGTGAAATGATAGCGATAATAAAGACAAAAAATAATTAATTTGTGTTTTATAATAAATCTGTTTTTATTCACTGATGTTTTTTTTAACCCTCCTGTTATGTTACAGGTCAAATTGACCCGTTTTAAAGTTTGAAGATCTAGGAAAAATAGTTTAAGTGTTTTTTTCATTATGAAACTTCTTCTGCTTGCCTTAATTAGTGTAATCAACATATAATGTGAAATTGGTTCATCTCACATATTTGCAACCACCCCCTGCATGTTTAATATCACATAGATACTGTTTGGGTCAATTTGACCTAGCAGTCAAACTGGAGGTAAAAGTGTGTAAGAAATGTCAGAGTATTTATTTATTTGCAACTGTGAGACATTTTTCACCCCAATCACAGACAAACACACAAAGCATTCCTTTATGAAATGCATCTACATTGTTACACCTTGTCAGTGTCTACGTTTTTAGTCGATATTGGCTGCATTTGACCTTTGACTTGAATATGTACATTTCAATTTTAGCTAACGGTGTGATGGAGTTTGACACTCCTACCACACAAAAGGCAATACACATTTGGCACCGTTTTGGTCCCTTCAGTCCATCTCCAGTAAGCACAGATTTGCGTGAAATTTTTAAGTGGTATACACAGGGTATTTATCTCCAGACAAACCTGCTGCAACATGTCATTGAAGCGCTGCTCCAACGGACTGAGGTCCGCGGAAATAACAGGAAGCCTCTGAAGACACACCGCTGCCATCATAGTCCAAGGAGAGCTCGCTCTCTCCGTCTCATGTTTGGCTCGAAGAGTCCCTTTACTAACCGAAGTCATGGAAAAGTGCCGACATCCTTCGCTCCTGACGCCTGACCTGCTAAAATGAGATAAAACCTTCCACCAGGTGCGACCAGCCATCTTTCTACAGGGCGCAGCCATCTTGTCATGCTACGTTCAAAGTGTGTATTCAAAGAAATCGTGATGTCTTCTCTGCAGCTTCGCATTTACCACACGTTGAAGTTAAAAGTTTGTAACTGTAATATTTCATAAAAAAATAAAAATACTATGCCCTTAATGTAAACTGATTAATAATTCAAGACGTCAAACGAGTATTTTTCTTATAAAACTCGTTTTTTCAAGGCTTTTTGAAACTCCTGAAGGCAGCATTTTGTCAAGTCTACCCACAATTCTTTGCTGTGAAACGGACGACCCATTATGTGAAAACTGGGGGGGTTACTGTTCTGCTTAAAAAATTAAAAAAAACTATAGTAATGTATTTTCTAAGTACTTATGTGTTATTTAGTTTATAAATCATATTTTTTGTCTAGTTTACAAGCAATATAGTACAGATTTTGGCTATATTATTAGTTTTATAATCGAGCTTCCTCTCATAAGTGGTTTAGTCTGTGCAGCACAGTCAGTTAGCCGTCTCTCCTTCAATGTCACGTTTGTTTTGCTAAACTGTTTGATATTAACTGTAAATTCGTATTTTTGTTTCAGAAAAATGTTTAATTTCAGATGTATTTTCCGTAATTCCGTCAGCTCCGTATGTCGACAGATATCCGCCTCGCTAAACGGAAACGGGACCTCTCTGTAAGTGTTTTTACGAGACTTGCTGTTAGCTAATGGCTAGCTCTGACTGATTGAAATGCCTAATTTTACATTACTAAACCTAAAGTCTAGCTAGTAGAATTATCCATCTCGGAAATAAAAAAAAGATGTGTGTTTAGGGTTGGAAGAGTGGGGGAGCCGCTGCAGAGATCGTTGCATTGCAGCGCTGTGAGACTTCAGGAGGCTGAAAAAACATCACAAGCAAACTCTGGGGAAGGGTTCAGGTCAGACAACATCTGCACACTTTATCACATCTGTCTGCTGTTTCAAAATGTCCCCGGGCTGTGAGATATAAATGATAACATATCTCCTTTAAACTGCCTCAGCTCCCTGGTTCACAACACAGTTTTATTCCTGTGTCATGGAGTTATTCATTGTATCCTGATGCATGCTCAATATATAATATTCATTGTAGTTTTTACCTTTCAGCTATTTTCCTCCTCTTCCTGATCAAGACAGCCCACTGCGATGGGACGGGAAGAAGTTTGAAGAGTTACCAATTATTCACATTAAAGCAACATATAACAAGTAAGTGGAGCCAAATCTAGTCTGTGGCAATCTCAGCAGCCAAGATATACATTCATTTTTACTCTGTTCCAATTTAGTTAATAAATCCAACAAAGTTCAGTTAGGTAATCTGGATTATTTATTTATTTTTTTGTTGTTATTGTTGAGACGTTTTGTCCTTCTTCCAAAGGACTTCATCAGTCCAAGGAGCCACAACAAACTAATGCCCATTTTGCACTGCCCCTAATCAGCCCCAACTCTGCTCAGCCCGGCACACCCCTACTCAGCCTGGCTCAGCTCAGCCTGGATTTGCACCTGCACTTTAGGACCGATTCTGGAGGCGTGTCCAGAATCCAAGTCCTGCTAATGAGAGTTCTGTGACTCAAAGCAGTCTGCTCCTCAGATAAATAATATTAAATTATTTTTCTATATGTTAACTTATTTTATATATGAATATTTCTGTTCAGTGCCCTGACACGACTTCAAATCACAAAACAAGCATTACACTTTAAATTAAAGCTTTAAATCAAAGCTAAACTTTAATTCAAAGCTAATTAACAATAATCTGTATACAAGAAAAAAATCTGTATACAAGAAACAAAACCATACCATACCAATTTATTTATAGAGCACTTAAAACAGCAACAAGGCCAACCAAAGTGCTGTACTGACAGAACAACAGGTAACACACAAAGCAAAATACAAAATGAGGTAAATCAGAATATAGACATAAAAACGATGCAGATAATGACGACAAACCAGTGTGGAGCATACAGGATCAAAACACAGATCATCTTGTGTTGAAAGCTATT